CTTTATACAAAATGACTCTTTTATATTAATTATCTATATAATTCATATTTGACAGACTGCACCTTGTTTGGCCTCAAGTGTGAGCTCTGCCTGCTGAGTTTGATGGCTCTAGCACCAGCAGTGCTACAGTATGTACTGTATACATCTGCTGGTTTACATCAGCTGACACACCCTGAACCATGATATAACACAGCTGCCGAGGTGGTGGTGATGTACCGCCCCCCCCTGGTGGTGGGATTAGATATGCAGTCATTTGCTTCAAGCTTTATAAATCAATTTAGAGCGAGTCAGATTTGTGAACAAAACTTAGTTTAATATTTCTATAATCTACACATTTCTTAATGTTGGCAACATAAATGTACGGTATATCAAATGTGTGTGTGGTATGTCAGTGTGTGTGTGTATGTGTAGATTTAAATCTGGCTAGCCTCCAGGTACTTTAGACTAGAGGTCAGTCAGCAGCGGAGGAGAGCGTGGCCATCAGGGTGACTCTGTAAACATTGGTCTCGTCCCCCTTCAAGGTAAGTGGCACACATGTCTGCACCACCTCGTAGGGCTGAAACACACACACACACACACACACACACACACACACACACACACACACACACACACACACACACACACACACACACACACACGGTTAGATGGAGGTGTTGCTATAAAAGCTGATTAAACAAGTCAATTGAACTATTTCTATTTAAAAACGTTTGTTCAGTGTTTCCACCAGGATTTAAAATCCACAGCCAAACCCTTTCATACTGTGTAATTCAGCATTCATTTCTTATTGATGCTAACACACCGTACGTATATATACACATTTTTACTTTTCTCTTTTCCTCCGTACCCAAATCTCTAAAAACGGGGGTACAACGGAGCTGATCCAGATTTGCGTCCGATATGACGTAATATCGGCAATGCAGACCCACAGCACTTTCAGAAACGTTGCTATCAGAAACAATGCCCGACTGTTTTGGACGTAATATGGTCGGTGTTTACATTAGCATCGCTAATACTCAGAGCTAACCTGTACTGGAGAGCATGTGTGTGAAGAAGCAGGAAATAAAAAGGAACTCACCTTGTGGTATAACCGGCAAGAGAGAAAGCCTTTGAGCTCCATACTGTTTCAGATATAATCCATGATATGGCGTTTCATCACGGCAGTATTTAGTTTAGACAGTAGCTGCCGGGTCCCGCATGAGCTCAGCCCCCTCCTTTTTTAATTTGGTATCAATTTTATTTTTATTTTTTAAAGCTTTATACCCCAAATCAGCACTTTTGAAACAGGAAGGGAAATAGAGGGATATGAGGCATGGCTAGAATGGGTGATCTGTTTGGTATTTTGAGCAAAACACTTCATAGACATGTTTTTTATATATTTTTATACAGTGGGGCAAAAAAGTATTTAGTCAGCCACCAATTGTGCAAGTTCTCCCACTTAAAAAAGGATGAGAGACGCCTGTAATTTTCATCCTAGGTATACCTCAACTATGAGAGACAAAAATGAAAAAAAAATCCGGAAAATAACATTTTAAAAGAATTAAAAAAGAATGTTATTTGCCATTATGGTGGAAAATAACTATTTGGTCAATAACAAAGGTCGTTCAAACCTTGTTATATACGTATTTTTCCGGACTATTAATCGCATCTTTTTTCCTAGTTTTCGGCTGGTCCTGTCCGACTTTAAGTCAGTGAGTCGTACGTATTATATGGTTTTAATGTCAATTCATGCTGACTGATTCATGAACCTTGTTCTACATGCTCACTTCAGAGTGTGCGCTCTTCGCTGTGTACAACTATATGTTGCTGGCTCCTGTACCACTGAAAAAAATCGAAGAAGAGAGCGGACGGTTTTTTCCGGGTTAGCTGCTTGATAGCCCATCTGTTGTTTGCCCGTCTGTTACTTGTTCAGCCGTCTGTTGTTAGCCCGCCGTCTTGTGTCCGGTGGCGGCG